AGGAGATCTCCCTGACCATAGGAGAGTGGGAGGGGAGGGCTGCAGCCCCACCCACCCCCACTGCCTCTCCTTCTTCCCTGCTCCAGACACTGAGGAGAGAATGAAAGAGGTGGAAGCTCTGCAGGATATAGCAGAGGAGAGTAGAGGAACAATTACAGAGCCTGCCACAAGAGGGTAGGGTTTTTTAAAAAAAATTTTTAAAACAATTTTTAAAAAATGTTTTGCTTGTTAATTCAGCTATTTTTAAAATATTTTTCCTTTGTGCAGGAATGTGTATGCGAGGGTTTGATCTGCATCCCCACCTTTTTTTTTCTTGTCTTTTTTTTTCTTCTTTTGTTTGTTTTCTGTTTATGTGTATATGTGAATGATTGAGTGTTCATCTTTCAGGGTTTTTTTGTTGTTGGTGGTTTGTTTTTGTTCTTTTGTTCTTCTCTTTTTTTATTTTTTAGTTTAAGGTGTGTCAATATATGTGTGAGGGTTCAGTCTGAATTCTTTTGTTTTGTTTTTGTTTTTCCAATCTTTCTCTTTTTCTTCTCCATTCATCTTGTGCTAGACGTGTGTGTGTGTTTAGTTTTGTTGGTTTTTTGTTGCTGTTGCTCATTCTGCTTTCTTTGTTGTTATTACAGTTTGTTTTGGGGTGTGTGTGTATGTCTGTGTGTGTGTGTTCAAATGGTTTTTTGCTTTGATTTCTGCTTTCATTGTCATGTTCTTTTTCTTCTTTTTATTTCTTGTCCATTTTATTTCATTCTATTTTTCATTGTGCTCTTCATTGCTGTCATTGTATTTTGGACTCAGGGGGTACACACACGTACCCACTGCACTGCCATATAGAGTGGCAGTGGGAAGTAGGTCTCAGAGAACACATACCCACAATCAGTGAACACTGTAATTTGCAAGTAGTTTCTGAATCCTAGCTCCCCATTCTCCACCTTATTCAACTCTCCAAACTACAAGAGTCAGAAAACCATCCCATCCACAGTCCTGTTTCAAAATAGAAAATATTCAGAGCCTGGATCAGGGAAGAATAAAGGGCTGAGAAAATATCAGAAGGGAAAGCCTCTCCCACAGACAACAGAAAAGCAAGAGATCTGTCACAAATGAGGAAAAACCAAAGGAAGATCACAAATAATTTCAAGTGTAACAAAGAGAAATCTCCTCAAAAATCAGACCTCAGAGCCTAGACAATGGAGGTCACCAACGATGCCCCAGAATACAACAAGGATCAGGGAATGGATGGAAACAGTGAATAAAACTCAAGAAAGACAAGATGCAACACAGAAAGAACTTGTAATAGATTTTGGCAGTAAAAAATTTTATCCAGGAAATTAACAAGATGACAAGCATGGAGAGCAGAATTAATCTAGCCAAAGAAATAATCTTAGAACTTGAAAACCAGAACATGGAATTAACCCGATTTATAAAAAACATAGAAAGAAAACTCAGAAAGAAAGAACAAAGCCTACGAGAGGTGTGTGATTATATTAAGAGGCCCAACCTATGCCTGATTGGTATCCCAGAAGAAGGGAAATGGAGAACACCTTGGAGCAAGCATTCCAAGAGGTAATCCAATAAAACTTTCCCCGTGTCACCAGAGAGGTGACCAGCCAAGCACAAGAGATACAGAGAAGCCCCACAGGACATCAAATGAGAATACCAGCCCCTAGACACATAGTAATTCACCTACACAAAGTAAGCACAAAAGAAAAAATCCTAAAGGCAGCAAGAGAGAACAGTCAGACTATCTACCAGGGAAAACCAATCAGAATAGCAGCAGACCTATTGGCAGAAACTACAAGCAAGATGAGACTGGAGTCCAATATTCAAAGTCCTTAAAGATAAACAATTTCAACCAAGAATTTCCTACCCAGTCAAGCATAGTTTCATCAGTGATGGAGAATTAAAATTCTTCCCAGACATCCAATCCCTAAGAGATTATGTAGTTTCCAGACCAGCTATACAGGAGACACTTAAAAAGGTATTAAGCACAGAAGAAAGAAAGAAAGAAAAAAAAAAGAATGACCACACACTTTCCAAGGGAATAACAGAGCACAGAATCAGCAGAAAATACAGCGCAACAACAAACTTGAAAACACATACATACATCAAATCCAAAGCCAAAAGGAAACAAGCAAAGAGAAAACTTTAAGCCAGGCTCGGTGGCTCAGCCTGTAATCCCGCGCCTTTGGGAAGCTGAGGTGTGTGGATTGCCTGAGCCCGTGGGTTCGAGACCCGCCTGGGCAGCGAGACCTCA